AAAAGGTTGGGGACCACTGCTTTATGGGGTCTCCAAGAGCTCCGAAATACTCGGTTATACCCCTCAGGCACCCCTCACAGATTTTAAGTTGGTGTGAGCTTGACAGTAAAAATGATATTACAGTATGGGTCATTGAATGTGTTTACCACTTGTTGCATCCCAAACCTAAATACTAGTTAAATTATTAAAATTGGCTACAAATTGTATGTTAGTTTCATGAAAGGCCTTGCATCAGGTAAAAAATAAAAGCCACACTAAATCCATTAGCACTCTAACCAACTGAGGTCATTAACCCTCACAGGAAATTAGTTTAATGAAATAGCATGTGGTCTGTATAAAGAGAGTAAAGTTACCATGAAGAAACCTGCAACAGTGATTATGAGTTGCACACAATTACAAACAGGGGAAAGACTGGACTACAAGAAATGTTTAACACAATGGCACACAAAAATTAGCCACATTTTTACCACACAAATCTTGTGTTCAAATCTTCTCTTAGATGTCCACAAACTGTGATAACAGAGCAGTTATGCACTTGTGCATGCACCTTGTTCCATCCATTTCATACAAAAGCACTCATACCAACAAGTATGGTAATTAATATCTGAACGTTTATTTACAGGCTGTTTGAGTGGTCATTTCAAATGCAGTAAGACAAAGAAACCATTATTTGGAAAACAACATTCAAGTAAACAAGGTACAATAGTGCTAGACAGACTCAGTTCAAAACGTTTTGACCTATTCACACTGCAGCTTTCCACAAGAGAAAACATCTGTGGTGTTTGACCCAGAGGTGGCAAATATGATCCTGTTTAAACAATGGGAAGCCACACAGAGTAGTAGTCAGAGAAGACTTTTGTTGAAAGCCAAGAGAAGCTCACATACCACGTGTTAAATGATAAAATGGAGATGTTTTATTCCTGGCTAATTACAACTTTTGCCAATGTACTATATCAACTGATATCCAGACTGTAAAGAGTACAGAGCCAAAAATTAAAACAACAAAAGCCAAAGGTGTTACTGTCCCAATACTTTAGGAACCCATCACATGAGAGTGAATCATTTCATTAGGTCATTTATAAGCCAGCAATTTATTTGTTCAAAATGATCATGCAAGTCTGCCTGATACACTTGTAATGCAACTGACTTGATTTTTTTTCCATTTGAACTTGCACACAGACAAATATATATACTTTATGTAAGTAAAAAAAAAACTGGAATTGTGTATTTGTACACTGGTGTCTTGCAGTTTTGACGATGGTCTGACAGCTTGACACACTCAAACATCCACAGTTAAAAACAGTGATGTTATCATAGTGTAGCATGGTTAGCTATCAGTGGCGGCACTTTGATGAAAACACAAAAGTGGACAAATTTTAATCAATATGTGCTGCTAAGTCCATCTTGAGGTGTGATACATAACAGGGCCCATCCCTCATGTACAACTAGAACTTCATCACCCCTCCCACTCATTACCTCGTTATAGTGAAGTGCTTCTATACAATGACATTCAATATTGCGAACATAGGGTGTTTAATAAAAACTACAGATAAATAAAAGCCAATATTCAAAAAATTTTCCAAGAAAAATTGATGTTTATGATTCATGACTTATTAAAATTTTGATATTGCCCCAAACTGTATTATCTCAGTTTATTACCACAGGTAAAACAAATTGATTAGTGGTTATAAATCACAGTTTATAACTGCAATACTTACAATGTCACAGAATATTAAAATCACAATACTGTGGCTCAAATGCTGAGACCGACTAACTACAGAAATGAAAGGTTTTCTTTTACCTAAACAGCTGTACTGTACTTCAGATTTAGTGTACCTGAAGTGCAAAATGCCAGTAAGTAGCGTGAGGCAGGGTGGTTTGTAATCCCAGGCTGTTTTTGAATACACCGTGGAATTTTCCTTTTTTCTTTTCTGGCAATTCTGATTATGCAAAAAACTTGAAAAGAATCACATTTGCACAAATTTTCATAAGTTCTAAAACCGCCATTGGAATATTGCCATGTTCAGGCCCAACCAAATGTGTAAAACCATGTTACACCACCTATGTTAAAAACTAAAAATGAAAGGTCCAGGTGTATTCCGAATCAGCAAAAAGCACAGAGAACCAGGTGATGCATCTTCCAAGTGGGAAACTGTGGTGCATCCAGTCCAGCAGCCAGTGGGGAATGATGGGAGGAAGGAATTTATCTCTGTGCAGCTTTGATGACCCACTCTGCATTAGGGTTCAACTGGAAGAGGTCTTTCATATACGTTTCCCCATCTAGACATCTCTCCTCTTACATAGGAGGCGAAGGACAAAGATAGAGACAAACATTACATGCACTGTAGTTACTACACTAGGAGATGATTATACTTTTCGGTGGCTTTTAGAAGCACAACAGTAATTATATCTTTCTTTTGGCCTGCTGGGTTATCGTAAACATTGTAATTAGTTTTTAGTAGGAGTAGGCCTTACTGATGTTGCCACCGATCTCATAGAGACACAGATCTTCTCGCTTTACTGCCACTGAACTGGGAGGACAGAGAGAGAGAGAGAGAGAGAGAGGGGAAGACAGTAAGAGAGAGAGTTAAGGCGACATGAAGAGTGGACAGGCCTTACATAGCAGAGGCAGACACTGTACGTACTGTATGTGTATTTGTAAGTGAGAATGAAGTGCTGTATTGTATGTATACAGTGTATACAGTACCCGTTACCTGTCTTGGCTGAGGAAGCGTGTTAGTACATCAGCAGCTTGCAAGTGTTCAGTGAGCTGAACCACCATAGAAACTTTACTGAACTGGGGTGCTTGAACTCGAATAAATCCCTTTGAATTCTCCTGGTTGTAAACACACACAGGCAGAAACACAGCGAGAGAGAGAGAGAAACATACAGTCAAGTCAAACACTCATAAACACTTTACAAAAATGAGGTAACATGAGAAGAGACTGGAGAGGACTAAAGAATGTGGAGTCCTCAATGATAAATTCTTCTGTTTAATAAACTCACTCGTCACCGTCTGGCCTCACAGCACTTAGCTGAGGATGCAGGGTCAAATGTTTCTGTAGTTACTCATTCACTGACAAACTGTCAGGAGGAACAGATCCATTCCAGCATGCTGCTTTATCACAGCAGCTTGTTCAGTGGGTGTGAGTGGGTGTTATGTTGCTGCCTTATGGCAACATACTGATTACTGAGAAGGAACTTCAGACAATGCTTCTGCTGATCAGTGAACCACACACTCTCTTGTCAGCTCTGGTGTTGTCTGTTCATCTTATATGACAGAGGAAACTGTGTAAGCCCACAGTAACTCCAGTATACTGCACAACATTCTTATATGGCACCACTAGATGTCGCCGTCTCATCATCGACTATACTGCACAGTATATACAATCTGATCAGAGCTGTACATTATGACCACCACAGGAGATCAATTAATGTCAATTCATCACTGTTGGGAAGTTACAGTTACTGAGAAAAATATGTAGTTAAATTACAGCCACTAATCAAAATGTTGGTGATTACAAAGATGTTACATCCAAATATATTCTTTCTGGCAAAAAAAAAAAAAAAAAATAGTCATGAAGCGAAAAAAAAAGTGAGGACTCTATGGGTCTCACGGATTCATTGTGGACTGACACATTTGATATAATGGAATTCTATCCACAGCACCAAATGCGTGTAAAACACACTTCCAGTGTGTTTTACCAGCTAGAGATGACACACACAGTGTTTTAATGTGCATCAGGTTGGATATGAGAGTCAGCAAACATGACTAGACTATACTCATTACATACTATTATGTAGTCCAGAAGGTTTTACAATATGTTTTACAAACCAGACTTGCACCATGATTTGCACAACTACATAAACCAAATGTGTAAAACTACTCAATAAACTCCTACCTCAAAGATAGCTTTATCAGGGGGTTTGTCGATGGTGATCTTCTTCAGTAGCTTTCTTACAGCTCGCTCTTTATTTTGTTTACGCTGACTTTCCATGTTTTGCTGCCTGACCTGGGTCACAATGAACTTGGGGATCTGGAAATAAGATACACACATCAAAGTAAGATTTGATATCCTTAGTACACACTGTACCATTCTCCATTCTCCAGGGGAAAAATGCTAATGTTGTGAGCAACTATGCTTGTACAGGATGCACAGAGAAACACAGAAACACCTCTCTCCATTGATTTCAATTATCCAAGTGCTTGTTTAAAATGATGATTCAAATGGCAGCGTATATCAAGCTAGGAGGCTCTTTGTGACCCTTACTGTCCATAGGAGATTCTGGTATCTAATTAGCAGCCGAACGATGTTGGTTGTGCTGGTTGCCATGGAAAACTCCTGCTGTTCTGTAACCTTGGACCGGAAGCCTTTGAACATGAAGATGTTGGGTGCCATGACAACACAGACATTGTTGAGAGTCATTTTATTTTTCACCTGATGGTCAATCACACGCTGGAAAAACTCTACCAATGCCTGCAAACAGATATACATTTAGAATAAAACAGTCAAGAATTTCTGAAATTCTGAATTTGAAATGAAAACGCTATACTAAATGCTATAGTGGGCAACTACCTTCAAAGTATCCCGGTTGGCCTCAGGTAATAAAAGGACCAGCAGGTGCAAAGCCTGCAGCTGTTGTTTCTTTGTGGGGAGCTCTGGAAACATGCACACACACAGAAATAGAAAAAGTTATTCAGTTTACTGTCTCGTAGAGTAGCTGTACGGCTCTTGTGGTTAAGTATAATAGTTTGTGAACAGATGATATACATACTATTGACAGCAATAAATGCACTGAGGTACTCCACGGTCAGTAATGGATGGGGTAACTCCCTGATGAACTGCTTCAGAAGGCTAGCAGCATCGTGCTGTTTTAAGTGTTGCCATGGAAACGTCCCGTCATAGAAAGAGGACTCAAGCTCCTGGGACAGTAACTGGATTTAGGACAGATACATTAACATCAGATCTAGTCAAGTCAATAATGCTAACAAGCCTCACGAGAGACCTGTGGCATGACAATGGTATCAACATTTCTTTACTCTGTTGTGTCTGTGATGGTGGGAATCAAACCTTGACTCTAGCGGCCACTCCAGGGATCCGTAGCAGCCCCTCCGTGTCTAACCCTTCCTCTTCAATATGACTGATAAGCTAGGAACATCAAAATGAGACCGAGCTTAGATAAAACATCACAAAAAGAAAGCATAAAAATTACAACTGCAGTTTGGACATACTCATCATAATGAGCACAGTACAGCGCAAGTCCCATATACTTAGGTTTCGGGTTGTGTGTCATTTAAATTGTGCAATTCCATTGGAAAAAACAGCAAGTTACATTGATATGTTACTGCTATTTCATTAATTATTATTAAATGTCTGGTCATCACTGCTGTAATGCTGGGTTGTCCATGCCTCAGACTGACAATGTGATGTTGGTATGCTCACCCTTTGCAGTATGAAAGGCACTTTGGTCCCAGAAGCCCGCTTCTGGTCCTGGTCCAATAAAGTGGCAAGGGGAACGCCGAACAGACCGCTTTCTGCAGACACAAACACACATATTGAGTAAATCATAAATGTTTTTACACAGTGCATTAAATATATGTTTACCTGGAAAAATAGTCATTCATAATTTGAGCTGTGTGTGTCAATGCTTGTCAGACATCCCTGTTTCTTTGTGTGTAAATGCTCTTATTTTTTATTAGCATCATTTTTTTAGTTTGTATCATTGAACATATGTAATGAGAATGTATATTTGCCTTTACTTTTTTTTTAGGTCTTTCCCAGCTGTGAATGTGTATTTTAATATTGTGTGTTTTTGTGTGTGTACCTTTAGTCTTAACTCTGATAGGTTTGTGCGCCTTCAGGTCAATCCCAGCAGTGTCAAACAGAGCAGTCATCTCCACAAGCACCAGTCTATGCACCTGACAGAACATTAAAGGCATGGTAATAAAATAATAATAAACAGCTGCACTAAGTACTAATCATAATGTTCTTCCCTAACACATTTCCCTTACTTACCTTTTTCATATCCAGAGGAGACAGATCTCCTATTCTGGTCTGACCTGTTTTATCTCGGAGCAACTTGAAGTTCTAGAGATGATAAACAAACAGAGAGGTAGAAAGAGGGGCATCACTGACTGTGGGAGAAGATATTAAAAGTAAGAACTGTTACCACATAAAGTGACTGAAGAACATCTGTGAACACACAGTGGTAATAATCAGTTATACCAGCTTCAACCACCAGATGTCACCACAGACCAACAATCACGGGACAGATAACTAAATGATCATACCAGAGCATTTGGAAAGTCAAACAAATAATTAGAATGAGCTGCAAAATGAGTTTTTAAATATGCCATAAAACAGCCAAAAAAGATGCAAAATGATTAAAAAGACTGTAAAGAAACAAAGGAGAAGTATAAAGTGAAAGTAAATGATTATGGCAAGACACAAAATGACTACAAAGACATGCAAAATGACCTAAATGATAAAAAGAAATGAACCACAAAAAAAGAACATATGACTGCAAAAAACATGCAAAACAAGAGCTAAAAGATGCAAAATGACCACAACTAAATGTAGAAAAAAGAATACAGATACAAAATCAAAAAGACACAAAACAACAAATACAGATGCAAACTAAAAATAAAGCAAAAAAGAAACAAAACTACCACAAAGAGTCTCTTTCTCATTTGTAGGAGGGTGGGGGCCTTTTACTCGTTTACGACCCGGGGCCCATTGTCTCCTAATCCGTTCATTACTCTAAAGTATGTTGGATTCTACATTTCTATCTCCACTATACATCCTGTTTCATTACATTACAAGGCCAAACTGTTGGCACAACAACGCAATAAAACAACCTGACTAAATTATAACCTAAGAAAAGCATTTTTCAACACAATCTGTCACCTTATACATAATGCAAAACTTATTAACTTAGTAAGTTCTGTGTTATCTGATTATGTTTTACTCAGATGCACAAAGATTCTGTCATACCTAAAAATGCACAGTGAGAAGTAAAAAAAAAAAAAAAAAAAAAACATCCTGTGGAGTGTTAAGTTTAACCCAACAGTGAATAAGTTAATAATACAAGCTCTAATATAGCTCTACATTAAAAAATGCTTAAAACAGGAGAGCAATGCAAAGTGGCTTTCCGTATTTTACATAAAGATGTAAATCTGGACAGCCTGTTTTCTTGCTGCTCTTCCACAAGTACAGACATGTCCATTGTGTTTGTAAAGAAACAGATAAGGAAGTTCATGTGCACAAAGTCTTTGTGCACCAGTACTGTATGTGACTCACTGGTAGTTTGTCATCGGGTGAGCCGGAGCTTGTGGAGAAGCTTTGATGGTTGTCCCTGTAAGTGAGCGCCTGCTCCGAAAACGCTATTTCAACATTCATTTCTGTGTCTATTTCTGCTGAGACACACAAAAGAAAAGAAATAAAAGATAGGACCATGCAACTAGCCTACTTGAACTGTGTTTATATAAGTAAAGTACAGTTGTATATACAGAGAGACAGACAGTTAAGTGTGTTTTAGACACTACAGCAGACAAAGGAAGAAGGCAGTGAATGAACCCCAGTCATTGAGGCTTTACCTGATGTTTGCACCTTTTTAATGTACAATATAGAAAAGATAAGTCAGTATTTCTGAACCACAATACAAGTGTGTTCAATACTGATATATTTATGTTGGTGTAGATTTGAAATAAAAACATAATTGTACTCAGTATGATTATATATTCTACTATATTCAAACAGCATGGCCTCTAAACATGGGCTGAGCTTTGTAAGACAATGTGTGCTAATGTGTAGTATTGTTGCGTTGTATCACACTGTACTGTGTACTGATCTTTTCGACTTGAAAATATTGTTGTGTATTTAATATGTGTTGCTAGGCAAAAAGTTATTTGTGCATCTATTAGTCATTCTCTGTCTGTGTGTGTGTCTATGGGAGTATGTGGCACACACCGGCTGAAGTGACATCTTTTTGTCCGTTTTCACTTCCTCCTTTGCTAGGGGGTTTACTCGGCTCCTCATTCTGCAGCACACAGTACAACACAGAGACATAAATGGACAGCACATGGTGTAATGTTCAACAGGTCACAAATTCACAGTGTTCCCACTCCCCAGCATATTTTTGTGTTACATATTATCTTGTCTGTTACTTATTGGACAAACTGTGTGACTAAGTAAAAGAAAATGTCAGACCTACCTTTAAAACACTGTATTCTCCTAACTAAAGTAGTACTGTAGCAGTAGTATACTTAATTCTACCCAAATCATTACTTATGTTTACAGCCATCCATCCATTATCTATACTGCTTATCCTGAAGAGGGTTGCGGGGGACGACAGAAGACAGGAGACAGAAAGCTAAGCTAACCTAAGCTAATAGACCCATTACTTCATTTTTAGCATACAGACCCGAGTGTGGTATCGATCTTCTTATATCAGTAACAAATGAATAAACCCAAAACCTTTATCTAGGTCTTAAATTTAAAGTTAGCCTCCACAGATAAAAAAGTTTGATAAATGAACTCACTATCCAGTTTACAGCAAATGAAGCAAAGCAGTTGCAAATGTAATTTTTCTTCCATTTCCCAGTTTTTCTTCTCAAATACTCATTTAGTGTTTACACAATCTAATTACTTTGTGTTCATGTGTGTGCATGACCTAACCTTTTCAGGAGGCCTGAATATATCCCTAACATCAGGAACGTGTTGCCGGTTGCGTCGCCGTAGCGTCTGTTGTAGTGATGTCAAACGACGCTGCACAGCCGCCGCCTGAGTTCTAGTCAGCGTGGACAGGAACACCGCACTGTCTTCTTCCTGTCAATCACAATCAGACATGAGTCAATGGGCATCACCTCCCTCTGTTCTTTGTCAAATATGTTTCACTTGTGTATGTAAGGCTTCTGCTTGTCTTGCTTGTCTGGAAGATTTTAAACCATGTCAAACAGTATACACTCATTCAGAGTGCAAATATGAAACTGAGATCTATGACTCAAGTTGGATTCAGGTCTCACTAATTAAACAAGGGATAAATGACCACCACCTGCTCCTGGTCAGCTGACAGTGAATCATCAAACAGCCGTGCCAGCCCTGCCTCTGCAAGCCATGCCTCCTCCTGCTCTCCTTCTGAAAGAGGAAATGAGAAGGGAAACGGGACGATGAGGGAGAATGTGGTTACCAAGATGATACCTCACTACTACTATTTTATCAAATGAAACAAGGGAACTGGAAGTTGTTTTTTTTATGGCAGACACAAAGACATTTCTGCAGGTACAGGAAGGGGAAAGGAGTGACCACAGACAGAAGTGGACCTACATATAATGCAGGAAGAGTGCTTCAGAAAACAATGGTCTTCATAAACAAGCTGAATAAGACACAAACATACACACAAGAACTGCTTTCCTCATGTCCTGAAAGCCTGAAAAATTGAAAACTAAAGAGTAGTTTGGGAGTGCTATGTCAGTATGTCACTAGTCATCATTTTGAACTTTAATATTTGCAAAAATGCAGTAAAATTGTTAATTCTGACATGCCTATGTCACAGGCAGAAGGTGTCACACAAATCCTCTGGATGAAGTGTCACTTAATGTTTCTTGTTGAAAAGTCTGCAGTATCAAATGACCACAAACAGACTACAGAAAATAACAAAACAACCATAAAGAGATTGCCCATAACTGTCCCATATCTGGAAATACAAATGTGCCCAAACTAGCCTGAGATCAAACTCTGCCATGTTATGATCTCTTAGCTAAGCAAAATGCTCTAAATCAAGAATACGAATGTCCATGTGTGGTAGCAGATGTACGAAAAGGGGGCAGTTTATCTCCCTTTCACATCTACCCATGGACGTGGTGTATCCTACCTTCAGGAATTTTTTGCTGCTCATCCTCTTGAACTTCCCCTTCTCCTCCACCTTCTCCCCTTCCTGCTCCTCCTCCAGAGCGCGTGATATTCTCCACCTCCTTCCAATAGTCGTCCATCTGCATCTCATCCAGAGAGTCCTACAAGACATAAAATAATCACACACAAAGAGATTTCATCACTGACAGTTTCAAGTTCTCATCTTGTTTCTTTGCTGAACATTATTTGTTGTTGGTCCATTTAAAAAAAAAAACTGCTCCAGTATAAAGATCACAAAATCCCCAGCCAGTCTGAACAAGTCTCACTAAGGTGGCTACAGCTGGCTGTGCGGTTGCTGTCACATGACACACACACACACACACACATCATTCATATAAAACACCTATAATGTAAACAAATTTGAGAGCATGATTTTCCAGACCACTCTGCTTTTCCAAAAAAAGACATTTAACCATTTTACAGGTTACCACAGAGTCACTGTGCTGGTGTGGAGCACACACTCATTCTCAGGCCCCCCAAATACATTCCTACTGAGAACTTCAGATTACTTAAGACACAAGGGAATTGTAAGCCTGCCAACCAAACCCCCTGTAAAATTTTAACAGTTACGACTTAGACATTTAGAGCAGACATTCTTATTCAGTCTCAGTACAACAGTAGGGAAGGTTGCTGCCTGTGAGTATCACCAAGGCAAAAATCACACAGGAAATATCTTGCTGACCACTAGAAACTTAATGGACAAGATTTTTTTTTATGGTGGAACATCTACAAGGCATTAAATATTTACCAGCTGCTATTATAATACCAGCAACAATGCAATACAGAAAGGACGTCAAGCTTTACTGAATCGATTTTATGTTTGTTTGAAGAAGCTGCAAACCTGGAATACCTTCATTCAAATGCATCAGTATTATTACCACTGAGTAACGCATGGCTTGTGCCATAAAGTTCAACATGGCCCTTTAATGACCTGATCTATAGGCATGTGTTTATTACACAAGGTGCTGACTCCACTGAGCAAACTAACCACCATGCAAAATTATATATTTAGACAAGTGCTGACACATCTACCTCGACTCGCATAGCAATAGTGCAGGAGCAGGGAACACATGAAAGAAAACAGCCTAATAATGAGTTGCTTTACGTTTAGGTTGCCACATCTCTCTGCCTCTTGTTTTTCCCCATACACACAAGGCTACAGAAAAAGTAGACCAGTCATGTTAAAGTATATATAGAAGCATCTCTTTGGGATAAATCAAACAAGGATGTGCTACTGATTAAAGATGAGAACAGCACCACGCAATAGCGTATACTTCTTCATTGTCAGGTGACCTCTAGGAAACTAAATACTAAAAAGAACTATTTGACATTAAAAACTTCCTCCATAAAAGGTCCACACACTTGAACAGGGTTGATGTTGAGACATCCTGCTGACTACTGGTTTTCATCACATCATTCAGCACCTACCTGAGAGTTGTAGCGCTGACACCTGGGTCGGGGTTTGGGTCTGGAATTTGGACTGTGCCTAGGGCTGGAGCCAGGCTTAGGGCTGGAAGAGAGCTGAGACCTGGGGCAAGCAGCGGAGCTTGGATGGTGGAGTGGCGACAGGTCGGTGCTGATTTTAGTACTACTGGTGAAAGTGGCAGGCCCATATCTGTCTCCATGTTGTGTGTTTTCACTCTGTTGAACGGTGTCGTTGCCTGTTCTGTGGCTACAAGAGAGACACAGATCTTGATTTAAATAGAAGTCACAGAACAATACTGTACAACAACAAGCACAAAACAACCCCCACCAGTGCCTAAAGAAACAGGCTCAGATGACAACAGTTCATTACTGAGCCAGATAAATAAAAATGAAAAAAAAAAAAACAAAGAACAAAGAAATAAAATAAAAACCAAGGGGCCAAATCTTTAGAACAACTGAAGTTTCTGAATATATTCAAGAAATGGACCTCACACATTTGGAAATGTTATATTTGAGTTACAGACTGAACAACAGATGTTCTCAATGTTTAAGCTTGATATGTTTAAGCTTGAGACTTGTTTCTAGACATAGCTGTGCACTTTGCACCTTGTTTACCAGTGACATAGATATCTCATGCCGGCACCTACCATAAAACTATTCCTGCATTATAAATGTTGGACTATCTGAAACCTGACTGTGCTTGTCAGCTCTGTGCCTGCAGCGGATGCCTGTTTGCCTTTAACAGCATGACAAAAGAGAGATAGCCTCTGACACGAGGCGGTCAGTGAGTCAGAAAAAAGTCGGGCACACACCTAGAGATGAGCCAGCAGCGTGCTGCATTCCAAGTCAGCCAGCTAATGAGAACAACATCAACAGGAACTAAGAATAGCAGCTCTCACACAGCTTGGATTTCACGTTGCTAGCTGAGTGCAGTCAGCTCATTTCACCCTACGGTTTGCTGGTGTTGTTTAAAAAACTGCCTGTAGCACCTTTTGTAATTCATTTATTCTTCTGCATATGTGCACAGATATGCACACACACAAGCACATGGTGTTCAAAAGCAGAGAGATGCTACTACAAAACAATACTACAGTACTATTAGTAGTACTGCTTTTACTTTGAATTGTACTATATAACATCTTAAAGAGTGATAAAGGAACTGGTCAAATGTTACTTGGTGTTAGCACTTCTGGATGTGTTAGCATCTAAACCTACAGTGCTTGTTTTGGTAACGTTAGTGACCTAGCATTGTCATGGTTTTAGCTTTGTATTGAATTAATATGATTTTAATTTCAGAGTAACTTGAGCTTTGTATAACATTAGCAGTAACCAGAGCGTTCCACTGAATTGCCAAATTTCCCCATTATTCAACTAATGCTAGCTTCAGCCTTGAGACTGCATTTTGTACAGTTTGTCACAACCAGGCAAATGTAGTTTAGGTAACTGCTAGGAAATAGAGCGCAAAGATCGGTTAAGAGTGAAAAGGGTCTGTCTGTGGACCGAAAAAGGGGTGTAACCCCCCCCCCTAACCACAACGGTAGCCTGCCTGTGTGCAGCCATAGGTGTTTTACTGGAGGTGTGTCTGTAGGGGCATAACTTCTAGTAGGTGGAGAGTTTAGGGCTGATCTTGCCGTCCGCAGACAGACGCTGTGATTAGGAGTACCTTATGAAGAGAAATGAGATAGAGTAGCTTTAGAGTGAAGGTCAACATTTCAGAAGCTGTAGGTGCTGTAACACTGAGCACAGAGTGCTTCATTTGTGGCACCATACAATGAAATGTACAAAGGAATAGCTTGAGATAAAAACTAGGACGTCAGTGCTGTAGCCTATTAATTAATTTGGAATTACCATGACCTCGTGTTTTCCTGCTG